GTCGATTAAAATATTCATCATCACTCTTTGGATCAGTCACCTTTACGTCGTTAAAATTGACTGAGGTCCCATCATCGTTTTTCCCAGGGTTCGAGAGCGATTTTAACGTTACCCACAGCGGACTTATATCGGTTCCAATGTTGCAACACTTCAGATGGTAGCCACATTTTCCTCCAATGCTCGTGTTTCAGCCGGTTGACTTCCACCATCAATTCAATATTCCATCACGCTCATTTGCTAGTTCTGCTGGGAATTAAGGTCTTATTTCGGTTATTCGACCAGTACGTATGTGGCAACGGGCTGCAGCTTTGATGATGTCTCGGAAAATCCTTTTTGCTATGCGAACATCAGAAGGGTTGAGCAGTTCTCTGAAGCGAAGATTGTTGAACTCTCCGAATTCTGGCCAGTGAGCTTTCCCATGGTTAAGGAAAGTGCGGCGCTCAGAGGTTATGTAATCGGTCGATCTGCTTATAGTGGCGATTATCGGGAGATGTTCCGACCCATGAGAAATGATGGGAAGCCAAGTCATGTCATTTATCAGACCGGGTGACGCTATGGTTAAGTCTGACGAACTGGGACACTCTCTTCTTATACGGGTGAAGGCATCCTCGTTCACAATGCAGAGTGTGAAGCAGTCAATCTGCTCTGCCAGGGCCAATTCCTTGTGATCATTATCTAGTACGGAATGCCACAACTTATGGTAGGCATTAATATCCCCTAGTACCAGGCGGTACTACATACCCTACAAAGAGCGAGCTAATATCTTGCAAATAACCCGGCTTACAACTATCACTGCTATAGGCCACTCTGAGGACAACGTCTCTCCTTAAATATATAGTGGGTTTGTCGATCTCAAAATGTTTGGTTTTCCATTCTATCGCCGTTCGGAAAGCTATTCGAATCCTTTATTAAGGATTAAAACAGCCGCGGAAAAAGATTCTACGGAATTATCAGTTCGTTTTAAGACCTGGTCTCTCCATGGCCTATGACTTAACGGCAAAGACTTCTACTATAGCCTAGATGTCGCGAGGCTTTTGGCCTCTGTCGGTCATTGTGAAATTTTATATAAATTCTAGTCGTTTGGCTTTGACGGTCAAATCTGGAGAATGGCTAGAGCATAACACCATTTCTTGTTACATCCCGACTCCTCTCTCTGGCGGTTTCAGCCTGTTGGTCAATAGCAGCGCTAAAATTTATCACGATGCACTCCGTTGGTACTTCGTTAGATGGCGTCTAAGTTAAAGGGCAATATTGAGCCACGGCCTTCCTTGGTCTGCCGGGCATAGTCTAATCCAATTTTAGGAGGTTTTATGCACTTCTGAAGATGGTTCGGAGCAGTTTCCTGTCTCGTATAAAACTAAATACTTGGGCAGTATTTAAGAAGAGATTCGTCTGTGTTCTTCTTATAGACTACGTGAAGCCGAGGACCAAATGTCTGTTTTTCGGATGCAGTGGAATCTTGAGGATCAGGGGTGGTCTTTCCCAAGATTTGAGGCTCTTGATCTATCGGCAGGTAATACGACCTATATAGTTTCAATTTCAATAGGGACCATTTTGTGCATCGAAGGAAATAGCCAGTTTTCGGATGGACTATATAGCCCTTTGTTTTCAACCGAACTGCATACAATTCTAAATTTTTTTTAATTTCTATTTTTAGAACGTGGTTTGGCGTTCGCCATCGATTCACTGTTCCTTGCTGATTAATGACGTTTAAATTTCGAAACAAAAAAAGCTAAACTTTTCACAACCCCTGTACACTGAACTCCACTCCACCAATGTTGCATGTGGCAAAACATGAAAATGTTACCACAACTGCTTGATGCACCTTTTCAGACGATCACGGCGACTGTTTTTCATTTTCTTTTTTGTTTTGCTTGCGTTTGTTGTTTTGGTTTCAGTTTTGTTTGCTCTGAAAAGCGAAAGTGTAACCTGTAACTGATGAAGTGCATTGATATGTCGGTTTTGTGTGCCTGCAAATGCTTTAATTTATGTTTTCCACAAAATGCCTGTGTGTGTGGCTGTGTGCGAGTTTGTTTGAGTTTTTCTTATAATTTAGTGTTTGGTTTGCCATTGTTGGGAGCAGCTACTGATTAGAGATTGTTATCAACGTCTACATCTGGCGGATGATGAATGATGTTGACGAATGAATCATTGAGCAATTATAGAGTGCAGTGGAAAGCTGAAACATGTTTGTATGTCAGTTTATTTGAACGAATTTTTCCGATTTTTTCTGAGTATGCTCCAGAGCAAAGACTTATATAGAAGTTGCCGAACGGATGGGCAAAGGCCCATGCGAGAGATAAATTTTTTCTTTCCCACAACCTTTCTATCTGATAGGACGAATGTCAAACCACATAGGAAAGGCATAGGCTACTACAAGTCTGATCACCTGACGTTAGATCAAGACAAACATCAAATCTTGGGAAAGACCACCTCCTATCCTTAAGATTCCACTGTATCCCAAAAGCAGACATTTGACCCTTGACTTGATGTAATCTATATGAAGAACACAACCGATACTCTCTTGAAGTACCAACCACCCAATTATTTAATCAGAGAAAGGAACCTGATTCGAATCTTTTTTCAGAACGGACTAAAACCAAAAATTGGAATAGACTTTACCTGGCCGACCAAGGAAGGCCGTAGCTCAATATTTCCCTACATTCAACTTTCGGCGCCATCTAACCAAGTACCGACGACCATTGACCAACCTAGCAATAGCACGCCGGGATGTCGAAAGAATAGATTTTATAAAGGGTGTCCCAATTTTAAATTTGGCACCATTCGAAGTGTCATTGTTTGACATTTGAACAATTGTTATTGTTTACTAGCAGATGATACGAGGTTAGTAAAATCATATTCAGTGACGAGGTCAATTTCCATCTTGATTGCTTCGTCAATAGGCAGAATTGTCGCATTTGGGGTGAGGAAAATCCTAGATTGATTGATTGCCAACACATTCTACAGACTGGCAAAGCCAAAGGATTAAAATTTATACGAAGTTCCACAATACCAGACAGAATCAAAATTCCGTGCAGCATCTAGGGAAAGGACTATAGCTCGTGGAGAGACCAGACCTAAACCGTACTGACAATCCCCTAGAATTTAGGGGGCGGTGTGTTTGCAAATCCGCTTCATTATAGGAAACATTTCCCAACCTGTTCAGATCTATGTTGAGAATTGTGTTCATGCCGCAGGGTTTGCTGGCTCGTCGGTGTGAAGACGCATGGTCAACCATTCTGAGATCGACACACACCACCACAAAAAGAGGGGCCAGAACCTCGCTTCAGTATAGAAACCAATAGGGTCTTCTTCCAAACCGTAAAAAAGTACCCCAGATTCAGGCAACGATTGACGAGCATCATGATAAAGAATAGAACTACATTCCCTGACCTTTTCAGAGCTATGTTGGGAATTGTGTCCATACCGCAAGATGTCTGTCTCGTCGGTGCGAAGACACATGGCCAACCATTCAGAGATCGACAACCCCACCTCAATAAGAGGGGCCAGAACTTCGCTTCTGTATATAAACTAGCATGGTCTCCTTCCAAACCGTAGAAAAGTATCCTAAAGTCAAGCAATTATTGAAGAGATGAGTAGACGCAGAACCAACCCTACTGAGTTCGACAAACCCACTATACTTTGAAAGAGACATGTTATCCACAGAGTGGCTATTTACCGGGAATAAATAATAACCTCCTTTACCTAGTTGACTTGATGCTGAAAAGAATCGTCAATCGAAACAACCCCATGTCGAACGTGTTCGAGTTCCTGCAACAGGACCGGCAACATCTCTGCTCTACGTTCATCGGAACTCACCTCACCATAGAGGGTCAACAATTTAAATAATCAAAACACAAGGGAAACTATATTTAAATCATCGAACATTGGCTGAGGGTATACATCTGTCGCAAAACCGACTACTACTTTTTAACTTGTTTTTTTTTTTTTTATACCCTACAACACTATGTGTCGGGGGTATTATAAGTTTGATTGGGCCAAAAATTATGTAACACCACGAAATATTGGTTTCCCACATAGGAAAGTATATATGGATCTTCCTATCTCGTCGAGCTGAGTCGATCTAGCTATGTCCGTCCGTCCGTCTGTCCATGTTAATTTGTAATCACTCTACAGGTCGCAATTATGGCCCGATCTTCACGAAATTTAGAATGGAGGTGGGGCTAGCGTCAGAATAGAACCCTATTTCTTTTGGAGATGATCGCATAATATTTAAGGATTGATATGGACCAAAAACTGAAAAAATTCCTGATTTTGCAGTTGCTCTACAGGTCGCAATTATAGACCAATCAAAGGAAGTTAGCATGGGGCTAGAGCTTATGGCTGGGCAGAAGCCTTCCAATTTTGATGGTCATCGGGTAATATTTAGTGGGTGAAATAGGCCACAACATTTGTGTTAAATAAAAGTCAAATTTTCCATTAAACCGCGAATATTTTTAATCCCGGCGAAGTCACAAATAGACGAACAGGTCAATTCTGACCGTTACGTAGATGCCGATAGTAAATATATCGGTTATATATAGCGAAGCATATACAATGTGATATACAAAGGAAGGGGATGTTAGTTAGAATGCTTATATCTCAAGAATGGCTGGACCGATTTTGACAAATTTTGTCAATTCAGAATGCCCTCTTGACATAAAAGTATAAAATCGCAGAAAAGCATGCCAATAATGATGTTAATAAAGATTTTGTGACATTTTTTAATTTTTTCATATTTTTTATCGCATGCGATTTTTTCAATTTGACTTAATATTGAAGTGTATAATTTGTAGTATTTTTTCATCTTACAACACATCCCAACACACCAAATTGACTTGAGAATAATATTTTAACAAGCTTACAAACATAAGCCTTAAGCTTGAGAAAATCTTGAGAAATGCTTGTTTAACAATTATAGAATAATCGAAACGGAACCCTTATTTAGATAATTAGTTCAACTAATATTAGTGAAAGTTATAATATTATTATGTTTTTTTTTTTAATTTACATTTTATTTTTTTTTGTTTTTGTAATCGTTTCGCAGCTTTATGCGATTTTTAGCGAATTGAAAGAAAGTGCGCTTGTCCTTAATGAATGTGTCCTCCGTGTAGCCCAATGATAAAGTTGCATCTATGAAATATAGAAATTAAGCGATTTTTTTTCAGATACTATTGTTAAATAGAAATACTTCGTATTGCTTTTGTTGTACTAAAATTGCGAACACTTCTCTTTGTCTCCGTCCCTTTCCAGCAGAGTCGTTCTCCCAATTAATCTGTTATTATTTTTTTCAGATATTCTTTACGAAATTTGGTGCCTTGGCAACAAGTTTCAGTTCGCTTTCCTGAAATTAGGGAGAGCATAGTGATATTATTATTTTTGTTTTAGTTAGTATTTTTGAACTAAATCATTTCCTGAACAAATTATAGAATGAAACTTACAAGAGAAATAAATGCTTCGTTTATTTCTTGGAGACCTTTTTCAAATTCCAGAAACGACTCAATATCCTTGAATGGAACGGAAGGCATTACTAAAGTTTTTGTTTTCTTTCTTTCTGGTTTGAGCTCCTGCAACTCCTTACGCAAGCTTTGCACTTCGCTTGTTAGCCTTATGAACATAGGCTGAATTGCACTTATTACTTGGTTAGCTATATCTAAAACTAAAATAAGATTTTATCATATTTATGGAGAAATGTTTAAAAAATATTATTTTTACCTTCAGAATTTGTTATAAGTTTATGGTAATTTTCATTTATTGGCGGAGCTCCCATGTTAACATTTTTCTGACTAAAGAATAGTTTTGTGAAGTCTTCAGGCATTGTGAATTAGCGGAAGAAAGACAGTTTTGCGGTTTTGAGAGAAAGAAACCATTTTAACTATCTCATGTAAAAAGTGTGTCTCTATTGTTTCTGAGAATGATAAATCCGTTGTCTCCCATATATTCAAGAGAGAGGAATTAAGTGGATAGAAAAATAATGGTTCCAAAAACAATACTTTTGATCCAAACACTTTCTGCGTTCCTGTTGTTCCAATTGATGAAACTTTGAAAACATGTTGTCCAACACTATAATAGTCGCTAGGCGCAAAAATTGACAAGTATATGTTTTCATTCTGAATAAAAGTATTTGAACTTCTTTCCACTTTTACATGTTCTTCAGAAAGTGAACTGTTTATACTTTGTTCAACCAATCGATTATATAACTGCACGGATACGTGGTTTTTCTTTTTAGGAAGTCGTTTTAATTTTCCTAATTTGTTTTCAAACTTAAAGGCGCTTATATTTTCTAGCGATCCATATAATAAAGCACCACTTGCAGTGGAAGTTGTATGTTGCTGTAGCTTCATTATAATTCACTGGGACATTCTTACAAAAGCAACGCTTGTGCGCACTCATTGTATGTTTTACATTTGCTTTCATCTAATAATATGCGCAAAGCCAAGCTTAGTTGCATATAATGAGTATAACGATTTTCATCCAATATATTTTTTAATATAAAAGGTCCAGTATATAGAAGGAATTGCCGAAATTCTGTTGCCTTGTATCGCTCAAATTCCTTTAAACTTCGTGGTGCTCTACAAAATTCCCTCGGAGTTTGACTTTTAAGCGTCTGCATCTGATCATCAAACACTTCGATTTGTGTTGGAGATAGCGAAAATGAACAATTTTTTTTCCGGATCCAAGACTTCATTAATGACTTTACAACTCCAAGACAAACTACGTGCATGTAGTAGTAGTAGTAGTAGTAAAAACTTCTTTATTGAATAAATATTTTCAAATACAGTATGACATTAATAGATATTAAGAAGTTGATATTGGGATTGCGACAATGTTTTTAAAACGTCTGTCGCCTAGTTTAATAAATTCAAAGTTTTTCTTTTTTAGATAAAAGTGTTTAGTTAAATTCATTTATCAAAAGCTGCCTGTATTTATAGCTGACTTCAATGTAGTTTGTTAAGTCATTCCAGCCACTTTCTTCTTCGCCATTGAGTATCTTGATTATTTCCTCTTCATCAAGCGTTGGCTTTCTGAATGATCTCATTCTGAATTCTCGTAATACGGGACAAATTCCTAGAAAGTGCTGCATCGTTTCTACTTCCCGCATATTACAAAGCTTGCATTCTCTATTTCGGTCTCCTTGGTCAAATCTGTTGTATTCCAGAGGTATCATACCGCTACGCGCTTTAAAGATGCAAATGATTTTCTCTTCAGAGTACTTATCATTTAAATAGAGATGGCCAATATTTGTTTTTAGATGTCTATAAATTCGTTGACTCTGGCTATTTTCTTTTTTCCGTATATTTTCATTGTGGATTTGTAACTTTATGCATTTTATAATATCCTGACAGAAAGTAAACCAGTTGTTTTGAGAGGACATTACATGCGACCATTCCAAACTAAATGATTCAGCCAGTACCTTCAATTCCTTGGCCCAAAAAGTGTTCTTGCGATATATGAGTTGTGTAAGTTTTTGAGGAAGCCTGTTTTCAGAATATTGAAACAGAGTTTTTCCGAGATAGTTGAGGTGTAGCCCCAGTGTATATATTTGAGTATCTTCAACATCCGTTTCCAGCATCAAAATGTGGTTTGGAGTAAAACTAGGAACTCTCAATATTCGTTTAAGAAAGAATCTCAATAATGTGTTAGACTCTTCGAAGTAAGTGAATCCCCAGACCTGGGCAGCATATGTTTGTATGGATCTACAAACTGCTAAAAACAGCTTCCATTTTGCGTTCATATTTATGTCTGCTTTACCAATAAATTGTTTCCATGTCGAGTTTATAGCATTTTTTGCCTCTTTATTCCGATTTTGTACGTGTTTTAGGAACTTCATTTTTGGTGTGAACGTCACGCCTAAATACTTAAATTCATTTGAAATTTTGATTTCTCTGCCATTATACATCCATTTTTCATGTTTGCTTAGTTTCCCTCCGTTTCTAAAGACCATTATTTCCGATTTGGATAAGTTTACTTCTAGGCACCAAATTTTGCAGTATGTTTCCACTTTATCTATCATTTTTTGGAGTATTGCAATATCATCAGCAAGAAGCACAATATCATCTGCGTACAAAAGACTTCTGATATTGATATTGTCCACGAAAAGTCCACCACCAATATGCTCGTGCAGATCGTTTATATAAAGTGCAAATAATAACGGTGACAATAGACAACCTTGTTTTACACCTTTTGTAGTTGGAAAGAAATCTGAAAGCTCTCTTCCATTCCATACTGCCGATTGGGTGTTATTGTATATTCTTTCTATTAATGTGACCATTTTGTATGAAATTCCCATTCTAAACAGCTTATAAATAAGTGCTTGTCTTGATATGTTATCAAATGCTGCTTTGAAATCGATGAAAAATGAGTATACTTTTTTCTTTTCTGCTAATTTGAGTTCGACAATAGAGGCAAGATTGTATATGTTGTCAACTGTAGAGTAGTTTCTACGAAAACCAGCTTGATATTCGTTCAAAATTTCATGTTTTTCAACCCAATTGTAGAGCCGTTCATTAATTATCCCCATAAAAATTTTTGCCGCACAGTTCATGAACGAGATTCCTCTATAATTAGATGGCTCATTAAAATCTCCTTTTTTATGTATCGGAAAAATTACCGTTTTTGTGAAAGAGGTATCAATATTTGTGCTCGAAAATATGTTATTATATACATTCAACAATTGAGTATGTAGTTGTTCTGTGCCATTTATATAAAATTCGTATGGAATCCTGTCTTCTCCGGGAGCTTTATTTCTTTTCACACATGCAAATATTTTTTCCAGTTCGGACATAATTATTGGTGTGTCCAAATCAACATCTTCCTTATATGTAGGCGCATAGTAAATGAGTGTGGATTCTTCGGAATTATTTAAGAGACTTGAATAATAGCATTTAAAGATTTCTGGGGTTATATTTATCCCTACGAAGTTGCTTTCATTTCGAAGTTCTCTTGCCATTTTCCACCATTCTCCTGCGTTTCGTATGCTGTTTAGATTATTGCCGATTGATTTATAATATGCAGATTTACTTATATTACATATGTTTTTGTATTGGATTTGTGCGGCTGAATACCTTCTTTTGTCATCCAGATCTCCAGTTCTTCTATATATTTTGAGCAAATTAAAACTGTTTAAACGAGCTTTGTTGCATGTATTATTGTACCATTTTTGTTTTGCTTGAAATGTCGGCTTGTTTGAATATTGTGTGGGATATGACCTTGAAATCGCCTTACATATTGCCTCCAGGCATGACTGTGTTGTTTCTTGGATTACTTCCAAATTTATGTTCAATCTTCGTTGGTAGTTATTCTTATTATTCTCTTTCCAGATGAGTTTTGGCAGTAATGACATCTTTTCTTCTGTTTGCGAATAGGATCCAATATTTATCCTTACTAGAATCGGGAAATGATCAGACCATACCTTATCCTCCACTCTAAATTCTACAATTCTTTCTAGAACTTCCTTAGATACTGCACATAAGTCATTCACAGAATCGCCTAATGTTGATATGTATGTGAGATCTCCTTCCTTATCGCCTTTTGTTATTCCGTTTAATATAAGCATATTGTAATCATCACAAAGCTGTATGAATTTTGAACCTTTTTGATTAACTATTTTGTCTTTTGATTTCCTTAAATCATATCCTGAGTAGAACTTTTTCCGGTATATATCTCCGATACTCTGATTCACTTCTCCAATTCTCGCATTGAGATCTCCTATTACTATCTGATTTGAGATGTCCGCGGTTTGAAATATTTGGCTCAGTTTTCTAAAATCGTGATCCCAAGTAGATGGCCTGAGGTATTGGGGTATAAGTGTATATACTTGTTCCTTATATTGTAATTTTATAATGAGCTTGTCATCTGTATGGATAATTTCGTATGAGACACCCATATCAATCATTTCTTGTTTGATGCCTATTATTATTCCACCAATTGCTCTTCCAAACCTATGGACCCTTATAGCAGGCTCGAAAACTAATTGATATCCGATAAAATATGTCTTGGCTCTTTCCATTTTTCCACTTTCTAAATGTGTTTCCAATAATAAAAATACTTCATATTGTGTTATATATTGAAAAAACGTTGGGTATAGATATTTATTTTCTAGACCATTTATGTTATATGATAGTATGGATATGCTTCTTGTTTCGTGCATGTAATCTAATGGAAAGGATTGAACTATGTCTATTGGTAACTTTTCTATTGCCATTTGGGTGTTTGGTATATGATGATTTGCACAGTGACGTGTTCTGAAATTTTCATCTGTTCGAGAATCATTATTTTCTTGTGTGAACACCATGCGCTTCTGAACGTATTTCCCAGTTTGTGTGCACTTGTGGCAGGAATTATAACCTGTATGGCTTTTTATACCCAAAACTAGGGATCTTGCTGGTGAATCGCACATAAATGACCGGCAGCTAACTTTATAACTTTTGCCTTTAAATGAGAAATTTGAACTAATAACTTCATTAAGTTCTTCAACGAATGGTGTTAGGAACGCGTTGACGTCTTTCGGCTTACTGTTTCCAGAAAAAACGCCGATTGTATTCAGGATTTGTACCGTTTACGTTTACCAATATAGGCCAAACTTGTGCCAATGAACTTTTTGCAATTGGAAGACTGTCAATATTAAAATTTAATTCAATAGTGTCACCTTCGTATTTAGCGTTTGAAAAAAAATCGGTCAAGCAATCCTTCAGTCCATAGTGCACATATTCACCTCCTGCAATTGACATAACTGGAGCATCTCTAGGGGTTTTTTTAATGATCTAGCATCTTTTGGTAGGCTTGGTATCATCCTCCTCATAATTGTTAAAAGTTCATTCACTGCAGAGTTCGAAATTAAATGTTTCACACTCCACTTAGCCAACTCATCTTGAATATTAAGTTTTTCAATTGGAGACATAGTTGGAGCCATGGTACAATGATATCAAGGTAGGGCTATGATACCATATGATTTCAATTTTTTTATTTTCTTGGCTTAATATGTCATCTTTATTTGTTTATGTATGTGTTTTCTTTTCAATAACAAAAAATTGGTCAGAAAACATTCAAATTCGGATGTTTTCAAA